ACACTACACCCTGCACCCATTACACCCTGCACCCACTACACCCTGCACACACTACACCCTGCTCAGACTACACCCTGCACCCACTACACCCTGCACACACTACACCCTGCACCCAATACACCCTGCACCCACTACACCCTGCACCCACTACACCCTGCACCCACTACACCCTGCACACACTACACCCTGCTCAGACTACACCCTGCACCCACTACACCCTGCACACACTACACCCTGCACCCAATACACCCTGCACACACTACACCCTGCACCCACTAAACCCTGCACCCACTACACCCTGCACACACGACACCCTGCACCCACTACACCCTGCACACACGACACCCTGCACCCACTACACCCTGCTCACACTACACCCTGCACCCACTACACCCTGCACTCACTACACCCTGCACCCACTACACCCTGCACCCACTACACCCCGCACAGACTACACTCCGCACAGCATACACCCTGCACACACTACACCCTGCTCAGACTACACCCTGCACACACTACACACTGCACCCACTACACCCTGCACACACTACACCCTGCACACTACACCCTGCACACTACACCCTGCACACTACACCCTGCACACTACACCCTGCACACACTACACCCTGTCTAGACTACAACCCACGGGTCTCCTGCTCGATCTCCCTGCACGGCAGAAGCAACTGGGGGCCGAGTTTGTGTGCTCACCTGCCCCCACGTCCTCCCCCCCCCCCACTCCCACCCTGTGGAGCGGTGGCGACACGCGGGGGCCTCTCCACCTCTCCCACGCTGTCTGATCGGCGTGGAAGAGTAGGCCAAAGACCCTCGAGACGGGGCTCGGCTCTCCAGAGCTCCTTCGAGCTCAGCCTCGCGAGCGGGGGGTCACAGCTCGCTCGGAGTACGGTTCAGGGCGATCCATTTGTAGATACCCCACGCATTTCGAATGGCCCTCTCGCTCGCTCCTCGGCAGCTGATCGATTGACGCCAGCGAATGCAACGGGGCGGCTCCGTGTCTTGCAGAGTGCTCGGCCAGAGATGCAACGGGTGCAACTGGGATTGGCGGGGGACGTGCAATCGATCGTCTGCCCTTGTTATATAAATTTTAGTGGGGTATCTATAAATGGATCGCGCTGTGTGTTTCACCGTTTCGCCACTTCTGGGCGGTCGGGTGGAGCGGTGGCGCAGCGGTTGTCGCAGCGAATTGCCGCGCTGTGAACTCGGCCACGGACGAGTTCGACTCCCAGCCAGGCGATCGTGATCAATCAATCCCCGTGACCCAGAGGCGTGCGGAAGACTTCATCCAGCAGTGGAGAGACAACGGGATGCATGCACCGTGTTTACTAGATCACGGTGTGTGCATGCTGATCGATCAATATCGATTATTAATCTTAGGATGCACACCCAGGCGGGGTGTTGCTCCTCCCGGCGGCTCCATCTCCACGAATGTGGTCCCGTGGGTCGCCTTTGACTCCCGTTCCGTCACCGGTCTTGCCCATCGCTGATCGTCCCCTTCCTGCCCAGGCCTCCTTCTTGCAGCCAATTCTCAACACGGTCGATACCAGCACCGTATGTGGCCTTCAGGGAGAACACTGTATAATCGGCGACGTTTCGGGAAATGGCCCTTCTTCATAGCACACAAAGCACAGATGGGGGCTTTTCTTCTTTCAATCAAAACATTGAAAATTCGTTCGATTTAAAGCAATTTTTTTAGATCGTTTTAAACTAATTTCTTTCGAACTGCTTTTCGTGTTTAGTTTTCTGTCCTTCACCCGCAACTCCGATCAGCACGGTTGGCTACGTACGGCGAGAAAGAAGGTCAACATACATACAGAGGCCGGAGAGAAACATCGCATGTTACATTTTAGACATTTAAAGCGAATGTGTTGGTGGTGGGGGTTCTTCTTCTGTTTAATTGTGCTTGTGCAACCTCTGCCAACGTAGCAGCAGCAGCATCAGGAAATGAATGAAAACTACACGCGAGACGACCTGTTTCTGTTTTACCAGCTAAGTAGCCCGGGGATGCGGACTGATGAGTCGCTGTGTGGATGCACCGTGCTCTCAGGGATGGGTCACCTCTCCCGGCATCTCCTGGAGCTGTCCATCAGCCGCTCGTCCCCAACCTCGGCCACTGTCAACGTCTCTGCTTCATTGTCGTCTGGAAACACGCAATTATTTTAGATCGTTTTAGATTATGTATTTTTTTTCCGCGGCTGTAAATTTCCCCGTGAGAAGCCACTTTGTTGAACTATCATTTGTGGCGAGGTTGCTTCTGGAAAAATAAATCTCAATACCTCGGTGGGGGTTTACCTGATAAGATGAGTAAAACATAGTTTTGTTTCTTCTTCTTGGTTCTTTCGGTAAAGTCACGTAGAAGGGAAGTAATAAAATAATAAAAATAAAACATAAAACAATTCTCACGACGTTTCGGCCACAACGCAAGCAGCCGTCCTCAAGCATCGCATATTACATATTAGACAGAGGACGGCTGCTTGCGTTGTGGCCGAAACGTCGTGAGAATTGTTTTATTATGTTTTATTTTTATTATTGTATTACTTCCCTTCTACGTGACTTTACCGAAAGAACCAAGAAGATGAATCCCTGCAGTCACGAAAGTTTTAAATCGAAATAGTTTTGTTTGTATATATGTTAATGTTATTTGTTTACCTTTACTCTACTCTGCACTCCTATCGCATTTTTGTTGCGTTTGTTGTTAAACATGTTTTTTTTTTATCTACGTGACTTTACCGAAAGAACCAAAGGATATCATTTGTTGTTGTTGTTGTAACATTCTGACCGCGTGCCCCCTACTGGACATCTGTGAAGAAGAGCTTTTTTGCTCATCGGATTCCTCCGGAATAAATAAATACTGATTCTGAATGCCAATCAATAACTCTACCCACACACAGCCTGATGGAGCAAAGCTACAGTCCGACTCGACTTTTGTCTGTGCGTGGAGACGAATGCAGGAGCTCTGCCAAGCCACCATCGGCACGCCCGTCAGCACACGCCGGCTGGAAACGCCACTTCCGGCCTCTTATTGTTGAGTTCACGACCTGAACATCTGCGTGTGGCATTGGCGAGTGTTACAGTGATGTGTTGTTGTTGATGGTGTGTTGTTGTTGGTGTGTTGGTGTTGATGTGGGGGCAGGGGGGTGCCTTGCCCATCCCCCCTCCCCCCACTGATGGCCAAAGCTACGAGTTGGGGCCCCCCTTGACAACCAACACGAGATTTGTTTTCAACAACAACAATAACAACTACAGTGTCAGAACAACAAACACTGATTTTAAACGCAGCGCCCCTACAGCCTTAAATGTTCGAGACCGTGAGCGTGACGACGCTGTGATGAGCAGGGCAAGAAAAGCCGCGATAGCGAACCGCCTCTGTGTGCGACCTCGCGAGACAAATCGAATATTGGGGCACCCCCCAACCCACCGATTGCCGATGACGATGTCGTCACGACCCCCACCGCTCCACCGAGTTACCCTCAAACTCAACCCATGAGTGCAACGCATCCCGGGATGGAATGGGCGTCCTTGCTTCGAAAGCAGATTCTGATCAGCAATCTTCGACGATTGGGCATGCACCTCCCGAACGCGATGCCACGTGCAAGGGGAGAATGAAGGGCTGTCAGTGTGTGGGAGGGGGGGGGGTGGGAGAGGGCTCTCGTTCCACGGCCCCCGAATGCGCCAGAGATCTCGACAGATCTCGCGAGCTAAGCGGGTCTCGGCCTGCTTTGGTGACCGGTTGGGTTGCGTTGGGTGCCGTCCGCGCCCTCGCCCAGGTGCCGGTCAGCTGCTGCGTGGGTGAGATGCTGGCACGTGGAGGGCATCGCAGCGGAAAATCCATTGCTGTAGTTCACTTGAGCCCGGGCACTCGGCAGCCAGCATTGTGTGGGGAGGCATCGCAGTGCGGGGGAGGGAGAATGCGTAGGAGAAAGTGTGTGTGTCGGGAGAATGTGTGGGGAGAGTGTGTGTGTGTGGAGAATGTGTGTGTGTGTGTGTGGGGAGTGTGTGTGTGTATATGGGCAGAGGTAGTACCTATTGAAAGTGTGTGTGGGGAAAGAGTGTGTAGTGAAAGTTTGTGTGTGGAGAGTGTGTGTGTGTGTGTCGGGAAAGTGTGTGTGTGGGGGGGAGTGTGATAGAGTGTGTGTGTGGGGAGTGTGTGTGTGTGTGGGGAGTGTGTGTGTGTGTGTGGGGGGAGTGTGTGTGTGTGTGTGGGGAGTGTGTGTGTGTGTGTGGGAAGTGTGTGTGTTAGGCGTGTGTGTGTGGGGAGTGTGTGTGTGTGTGGGGGGGGGGGTGTGTGTGTGAGTGTGGGGAGTGTGTGTGTGTGGAGTGTGTGTGTATGTGTGGGGAGTGTGTGTGTGGGGAGTTTGTATGGGGAATGTGTGTGTATATGGGTAGAGGTAGTACCTATTGAAAGTGTGTGTGGGGAGAGAGTGTGTAGTGATAGTGTGTGTGTGGGAAGATATTTGTAGGGACAGTGTGTGTGTGTGTGTGGAGAGAGTGTGTGGGGAGAGAGTAGTGATAGTGTGTGTGTGGGGAGTGTGCGTAGGGGAGTGTGTGTGGGCAGAGAGAGTGTGTAAGGGAGAGAGTGTGGGTGTAGGGGAGAGTGTTGTGTGGAGTGTATGTATGAGAGTGTGTGTGTGTATGTGTGGGGAGTGTGTGTATGAGAGTGTGTGGGCACAGAGAGTGTAGGGGAGAGTGTGTGTGTGGGCACAGAGTGTGTGTGTAGGGGAGAGTGTGTGTGTGGAGTGTGTGTATGGGAGTGTGTGTGTGTGGGCACAGAGATTGTTGGGGAGAGTGTGTGTGTGGAGTGTGTGTATGGGAGTGTGTGTGTGTGGGCACAGAGAGTGTGTGTGTATGGGGAGAGAATGTGCGGGGGGAGCGAGAGAGACAGCGGGGGTGGGGTGTGGGTGGTGGTGGTGGGAAGGAGGAGGGGGCGAGTTGAGAGAGAGAGTGTGTAGGGCAGAGAGTGTAGGGCAGAGTATGTGGGAGAGGAGAGAGAGAAGGGAGAGGAGAGTGAGTGTAGTCTCCCACGGCCTCGCGAGGTGCAGACGACACCACAGGCGCTGTCACGTTTTGGCGGGAGACACAGAGAGACAGAGAGTGACAGAGATACACCAGTAAATACAGAGAGACACAGAGTGACAGAGAGACACCAGGAGACACAGAGAGACACCGGCAGATACAGAGAGACACCGGCAGACACAGAGAGACACATAGAGACACAGAGAGACAGAGATACACTGGGAGACAGAGAGAGAGAGACAGAGAGACACCGAAAGACAGAGAGAAACAGATAGACAGAGACACCGGGAGACACTGGGAGACACAGGGAGACACAGGGAGACAGAGACACAGGGAGACACAGGGAGACACAGAGAGACACAGAGAGACCGGGAGACACAGAGACACACAGAGAGACACACAGAGACACCGGGAGACACAGAGAGACACAGAGACAGAGAGAGACAGATAGACAGAGACACCGGCAGACACAGAGAGACAGAGAGAGAGACAGAGAGACACAGAGACACAGAGAGAGACAGACAGACACAGAGAGACACCGGGAGACAGAGGGAGACACAGACAACATAGAGACACAGAGGGAGACACAGACACACACAGAGAGACAGAGAGAGACATCCGCACCATGAGTGCGCGATGCTTTTCTCAACGTCCCCAGGTGAGGAGGAGGAGGAGGCGGCGAGCGTCGCCTTTGGAGTTGAGGGACCAGAGTCGGCATCGCCTCGAGCCCCTCACCACTGAGCCCCCCACCACTGAGCCCCCCACCACTGAGCCCCCCACCACTTGACGGGGCCGCCGCTTCTGCCAAAGTGATTGTGGCCACGTCGACGATCGAGATGAAGACGATGAAGACGACGAGGAGGCGGAGTGGAGGACTAAAACCGTAAGACGTGTTGTCTGTGTGTGTGTCTGTGTGTCTTGTGTCTGTGTGTGTGTCTGTGTGTGTGTGTCTGTGTGTGTGTCTGTGAGTGTGTCTGTGTGTGTGTCTGTGAGTGTGTCTGTGTGTGAGTGTGCCTGTGTGTGTGTCTGTGAGTGTGTGTGTCTGTGTGTGTCTGTGTGTGTGTGTCTGTGTATCTGTGTGTGTGTCTGTGTGTGTGTCTGTGAGTGTGTCTGTGTGTGTGTGTCTGTGTGTCTGTGAGTGTGTCTGTGAGTGTGTCTGTGTGTGTGTCTGTGTGTGTATGTGTATGTGTGTGTCTGTGTTGTGTGAGTCTGTGTGTATGTGTGTGTCTGTGTGTGTCTGTGTGTATGTGTCTGTGTGCATGTGTCTATATGAGTGTGTGTCTGTGTGAGTCTGTGTGTGTGAGTGTCTGTGTGTGTATGTTAGTGTGTGTCTGTGTGTGTCTATTTGAGTGTGTCTGTGTGAGTCTGTGTGTCCGAGTGTTGTCTGTGTGTGTGTCTGTGTTGTGTGAGTCTGTGTGTATGTGTCTGTGTGTGTCTATGTGAGTCTGTGTGTGTCTGTGTGTGTCTGCAAGTGTTGTCTGTGTGTGTGTAAGTGTGTGTGTGAGTCTGTGTGTGTATGTCTGTGTGAGTCTGTATGTTTGTCTGTGTGTCTGTGTCTGTGTGTCTGTGTGAGTCTATGTGTGTGTGTGAGTGTTGTCTGTGTGAGTCTGTGTGTCTGTGTTTGTCTGTGTAAGTCTGTGTGTTTGTCTGTGTGTGTATCTGTGTGAGTCTGTGTGTGTGTTTGTGTGTGTGTTATCTGTGTGAGTCTGTGTGTGTCTGTGTGAGTCTGTGTGTGTCTGTGTGTGAGTCTGTGTCCGTGTTAGTCTTGTGTATGTATCTGTGTGTGTGTCTGTGTGAGTCTTGTGTATGTGTCTTGTGTGTATCTGTGTGTGTGTCTGTGAGTGCGTGTCTGTGTGAGTCTTGTGTATGTGTAAGTCTGTGTGTGTGTCTGTGTGAGTGTGTGTCTGTGTGAGTCTGTGTGTATGTGTCTGTGTGTGAGTCTGTGTGTGTGAGTGTTGTCTGTTTGAGTTTGTGTGTGTGAGTCTGTCTGTGTATGTCTGTCTGTCTGTGTGTGTGAGTGTTTCTGTGTGAGTTTGTGTGTGTGTCTGTGTGAGTCTGTCTGTGTATGTCTGTGTGTATGTCTGTCTGTGTGTGTGTGTGTATGTCTGTGTGTGTATGTCTGTGTGTTTGCGTGCGTGTGTCAGTCGACTCGGCCTCAAATGAGTACCTGGTGCGGATGCGATGGACATCGCCACTGGGGAGACAAAGACGGTCGAGCTTGGTGCTGGTCACCCAGCCCCTCGTGTGCCGTGCCGGCCTTCATAGGTGCTTCTCGCTAACAGCACTTGCCTCAACAGTTTGTTAAGGCTATACGGGGTAATCTTTGGTTTTGTGATTGTGTGTCAGTGGGGAGCGGTGGTGCAGCGGTTAGCGCGCCGCACTACGAACCTGGCGACCCGAGTTCGATTCTCGCTCACGGCTAACACCACCGGTGACGATTATCTGGACCGGTCCTGAGCCTCCCCTAGGTCGACTCAGTCTCAAATGAGTACCTGGTGCGGTGTATAGACATCACCACTGTGGAGACAAAGGCGACCGGGTGTGGTGCTGGTCACCCAGCTTTCGTAGGTGTTAGCTAACATCACTTGCCCCAAAACTAAGCTATACGGAGGATCTTCGTCCTGTTCAGCTGTGTGTGGCTGTGTGTATTATATGTCCATCTTTGTGTGTGTGTGTTGTTTCTCTGTGTCGGTCTTGCAATGTGCGTGGTGCTGGCCACCCATCCCATCGTGTGCCGTGCGGAACCTTCATAGGTGCTACTCACGAACAGCACTTGCCCCAACAGTCTGCTAAGGCTATACGGGGGATCTTTGTCTTTGTGTTCGTAGCACAGTGTTTGCTGTTCGTGCGTTTGTGGGTCTTGATTTTAGTGGGTCTTGATTTGGAGCCGACGTACCAAACAAAAAACCACTGCCCGAAGCCGAACCATAACCAGCGAGGTGTGAAGTGAAGGTTCGACTTGAGGTCAGGGCTGATGTCTGTGTGCTCGTGCATTTAAACATGCGACAGCACACACACACACTAGAGTACACACACACACTAGAGTACACACACACACTAGAGTACACACACACTAGAGCACACACACACACACACTAGAGTACACACACACACACTAGACTACACACACACACTAGAGTACACACACACACACTAGAGTACACACACACTAGAGTACACACACACTAGAGTACACACAGAGAGAGAGAGAGAACGAAAATCAATGCCTGGCCTGACACTTGTGATGAGACAAGGCAGTGAAGAAGGCTGCCTCTGGTGTAGGCCAATCAGTTTCAAATACAACGCTCTATATATTATTATTGTCAGAACGTACTCGTTGGTTCTTTCGGTAAAGTCACGTAGGTACATGTTTTGCCACGGGT